TCACGGAATTAATAGATTGTCTTGAGCTGACCTTGAATAATCGTATTTAATGAGGCATCCCTACCTAACGTACATACTTCATAAAATGTCTCCAAAACGCCTAAGCCTTCATGAAACCGCAGAAACATCGGATGCTCGGCATACTGCCCTTTTGTAGAAATGCGCCAAAAAAAATCTGTAGAGTTCAAGGTTATCGTTAGTGTAAACAACCTGAGAGGTAAAACGTTTATCTTATCAGTCCGGGAGAAAATGGAGGTACAGCTTAGCACCGAGAATGGTTGGAACGAAAGCGAAACCGAAACGTTCAATAGTAAGATACAGCTCCCTTACCAACCATGTTTTGTGGGCCTACAGGGCAGCTCTGGCGATGTAAGATGTCCGGAAGGCCTTCAATTTGGTCCCTCTCCTTATCACCTAATGGTTTCGAAAAGGATTAATGACCTGAGAACCCCTCGTCCCACACTTTTCCCAGTATCCTCCTACGGTATGATCATGGAGTACACTGTGGCACGAAAAATGTGAGCCGGAGAGAGGCCAATAAGTAGGTCGCATGTAGACGGTTGGGGGTGGGGATCATGCTTGATCGATGGGAATTATATGATTGTAATCATCATAACCAATACACTTCTAGCTTCTCCTCCTCCAACTCATCATGTGTTCGAGATTTTTTGAGGTGCAATGGGGGCAATATGGTCAGTATTTATAGGAAATTCCTTAGATTGGACTGCAGTAGATAGTAAATCAAGTTCACCCTTACTAATGCAACAAGCAACTCGGTGGTTCCGGCCCAAACTTGAGCTACGGTCTATTCACCCGAGGTGTAGCTTCAAGAAAACCTCAAATGGTCTGTGCAACTGATTTCAGTGTTAACGCGAATAATTATGTCTTCTATTAGATGTTAGAACCCTGCTCATCTGAAGCTGGAAAGGGCATGTCGCCTATAGTTAGGGAACACATCGCCATGCCTGTGACTAGTTGGTGACCAGCCACTCCCTGATATCAAGTAACCTTGTCATGCCTTCTTCATTTCTTTAACTCCCAGAGTTGGTACAGTGTCAAGTTTCCCACTATTATGCAGAAGGTCCGGGGACCGTTTCCGGGACGTATCCTCGCTCAGGCCGGCCAAGCCTTCCATCCATCCGGGTTCGTTTAGCTGGCACAGGATTTGGTTGGGGGATAAAAGCATTGACTTGCACTTCGGTGGCCACCGCAAGCTTTTGTAAAAGCGATACAACATTCAGAAGCCATTACAATCTTCAATGGAAATCGAATGCGAGAGCGCACTCTACAAAAGATCCCGCTTACTCAATACCCATGTGAAGTAGTATGAGAGAGTCCCATGCTCCATCTTAGGTAAGCTTTTTATTATGAAACCACAGCGTTTGTGCTCTCCATAGATGAATGGCTTAATCTGGGTTTATGGACAATTCAGATTTCGGTTGTGAAGGCAACGAATTTTTCAACCCACCGTCAGTTTATGAGTAGTGAGTGCAAATTACGACACACACCTCTCATTCGACGTGTGTTGCGGACTTCCTGGTTTTTTTCCGGTTTTATTGAACTTTGTACCTGGCATTTATCCCCATGTTCTGCAGTCTTTTTTAGAAGTGATCAAGGTTTAGTATTCTCTTTGAGGTTTTGTCATATTAAGTCTGTTTATAAATTCTGCACAATAAAGTAAATAAAGCGTATATATTTATTTAGTATTGAGTTTTTCTTTTTTTTTTAGTTAATCACGTTGCACCTTTTTTACGCTTTTTTATGACTTTCCGATCAAGAACGTCTTTATCTTTGAGTGATATATCCTCTTTTTTGGTTGTAGCGGCGATGAGTATTACACTCAATATAATCAACTACTCAAGCCACTTGATCTGTTGAATGATGGCCCACCACCGTCGATCTTTTTACTTTCAAGTGTGCAAATTATGCTTTATTTATCTTCTTTCTTAATTTTCTATTTGGTAGAGAGTGATAACGTGTATGCAGTTCATAAAGAAGGCTAGGTTACAAGTCATTCAGTTTCTATCTACCCTCTAGAAGGTGGGTTATGTTCAAAGCCGTGTTGTTGAGCCCCCTAATTTCTTCAAAGGCAGAGGTTTGTTAAATTTAATGTTGGGCATTACTAGATCGGAAAACCTATAGTAGTTCCACTATTGAAATACCGAGGCATCCCCTAGTATCCCATATGCTGATTCAACAAATTTTTACAAGATGGTCTGTGTTCGAAATGATGTGGCCGGTTGGCGTGCGGCGTGGTGGGATCGCCACTCTATCATAGTAAGAGGTGCAAAAAGCCGTTGTCAGTCACAAGGCGGATCTACTGCATATTTCCTTACTGTACCGTTTCTCAGTCAACTTCTTTGTTTCTGACTTTGTTCATGGCTGATCTCCTTGCTATGAAGCGATTGCACCATTAAGAAGAGGTAATTAGACTGTTTCACTGACGAAATGTCTACGATGAAAGGGGTACGAACTCATGGAATACTTTAGGCTCTTTAACGCGTCGGTTATCAATTTTTGCAGAAACTGGCCATGGCATTTTAGCAGCAACTCGCCTTTTTATTACAAGTACTTTTGCTACAAGGTCGACGAAAATGACTTAGCTACATCGTGCCATCAGGGCCTTAGTGAATTTAAGAAGTGTTGGTATCCATCCTTACAGGAGGTGGTATAGTCGTTCTCAGTGAGGTCTGATGGCGTAGCCTACCACGGTTACATGCGGAATGGAGTTTTTGAAGATAAGGTAGAGGATAGGCTGCTAAACGTATCGGAGCAGCCGATCTCCATGTCCCATCCCCCCCCCCCACCTTCCCCATCACTTCTTCATCCTAGCCTGGGAAGGATCTCAAGTCGGTATGGGTTTAAAATAAGACCTATACTGTTAGACGTGATTTTGGGTGCTGATTGCAAATCTGCTTTCCAAATTTGCCGAGCGATTCTCTGGATGTAGTTATGAGTGTGGTTTCAGGTGAGACTTAACAAAAGAGAACTTAAATTACGTGCTTGTACCCGCTACTCCACTGTGGCTTGGAGCAGTGGTAAGGGTGGCCCTTTTTGTGCGAGAGTCTAGCATTCGGGTTTTGTGGGGACTGAATTTATGCATTATGTCGAATCTTCTCCTAAAAGACTAGAAAATACTCTCGTGATGCTTTCAACATGTTCTATGAACTTTTGTTGCTCTTGCTGGTACCTTCTCTTATCTACCTACCTGTTAGGGAGAGGAGGATTCTTCCGTGTGCAAAATTCGGAGGTCCAGGCGAGTGAAACGTATTTGATGATCAAAGATGATGCTAGAGTGGGTGCGATTGTGCACAGCAGCTCGGACTCACACCGACACTGTTGATGGTTACTCGTGGACATCGGTCAGACCTGAACCTATTCAGTCCGTCTTACCTCCCCAAAAGCAAGTGGAGGTCCCTGCTCGTACCGTAAGGCTAATACAACCGCTAGCTCAGCTTTTCGTGTACACTCGAGACCCCATTCTTCGCTTACTATCGCTTGTCTACTTTGGTTCTGCCTTGTCAGATTTAGGAAATTTCTCTCTTATTCGTGGTGTGTTGGCTACTTAAACGCTGTGAATGTAGAGTGCATGGGCATGTGATTTAAATTGAAGCGAATTTCGCTTTAGGTGGACAAATATGAGCAAAAGCATCAAAAGGTCATTGAACGTGATAAAATCATCATGAGAGTGTTTTCTAGTCTTTAAGTCTACATAGTGCAAAAATTCGGTTCTCCACAAAACTCAACTCTAGTCTCTCACTTACAGGTAGGAGGTAGATCCACGTAATTTAGGTTCTCTCATATTAATTCGCACCAGAAACCATCCTCATAACTTCATTCAGAGAATCGATCGGCAAAGTTGGAGAGCAGGTCTAAAATCACCATCTAAAACCACGTATAGCAATATAGGTCTTATTTCAAGTAGCCACTTCAACTTGGTATCCTTCCCTGGTAGGGAAGTAAGACAATACAGGAGCTAAAGGTGGTGGTGTTCACCATTCACCATGTGCCCAACCTTCTTGTTTTCCCTTTGAAACGTCGACACGGCGCTATCTTCTAGAGTGCAAGAAGCCCTCGCGTGTACGCTGAGTTTAACAGTGGTAAAACCTAGTCTCATTGTAGTTAGTGTCATTTCATCTTACATTCCGCAATCGTTATTGTCTCTTGTAATCGCTCATTTGGATGAAATCGCTCATTCGATTGTGAATTTAATCATGTAATCGTATTTCATTACAGAATTGTTCTAACCATGAATGTGACTGCCGTTGGACCGCAAATGCGAGCATTCACCTCCCGATTGCGGCAGTTTTCCACCCAAGCCCAAATTGCTCCTGCAACAGTGATATACATCAAGGACGTCCAAGGTTCAGGAATTTTGTCGGTTACATTTTTATTTATAGATAGGCAGTACATCATTATATTTACTATCCGCCTATTGATCTCACTTCACTTATATGACACGGGTGAGGTTCAGTTGGATCAGCTGCTAGTGTCGACGTTTTCAGTACGAACCTGATTTGATAAAGAATAAGGATAAAGTTTTTGACGTTAATCCCGTCTGAGGGACGCGCCCACGCACTCGACTTCCATTCAGAATTGTTGTGGCGTTTTGAGTGCGT